GTATTTAACGCGCTTTCGGGCCACATATGTGGCAATTAATTCTGCGCACACATGGCCGCGTTCGCACACGCGGAGTCTCTCGAAAGAAATTCGGAATGTGAGCACCTACGCGCGGAAAGGGAGATGTAACGGAGAAAAGAGAGAGAGAGAGAGAGAGAGAGAGGGAGAGAAATTCGACCGCGAAAAGGATGCGAGATTATCGGGGCCGATAACAGGTGCTGCGATTAAAGACACGAGGATGCGCGCTACAAGCTCCGTAAGCCCTATTACAACCGGTAATAGGATCAGCGAATCGGCGGCTGATGCGTAATCTCGCGTAGTTACGGCGGACGCGGCTCGGACGCGACGTGAATCTCGGCCACTGATCGCGTGCGATCAGTATCGCTGGCCAATCGAAACGTGCGGAAAGCCGGCTTGAGAGAAAGAACGTCCTCTCTAAGCTGCTGAAAGCGGCTGCGAGCGCTCGGCTGAAGGCCGCACGGGGACGCGCGCCGTCTCGCCGAAATTCGCAGCGCGAAGCATTTCCCGAACATTTTTAATTATCACCGACACAGCAGCGCGCGTCTCCTATTATCCATCCGCCGGCGCGGATCTAGATTGCCCCACCGTCTACGATCACCGGGGACGACGTCGGGTGTCGCAATTTCCATCGTATCCGCGCGACGTGTTTTTTCCGCGACGCGTTCCGTAGCTGCGAGTGCCACGAGACGGCCAATGTTGCCTATCGCGTCTCCCTGGCTGCTACTTTATCTCGATAATCGGTACAACAAGACGACGCGAACAGCGCAGTGATACGTTGTGCATCCTCTCGGCAAAGCACGCGCATACACCCACACACACACACACACACACGCACACGCACACCGCGCGCGCGCGCGCACACATACACACATACACCACACGAGCGTACACGTACACACCGCGGACGGTCAGCCGATACCGTCGCCGGCAGGTAGGGATCGAACGCACGCAGATTTCGGACGAGGCTCACACGTACACGCGCGCACACGCACGAAGAAGCAGTGTATACGAGAGAGCTGTATGTAATGGGGAAAAGGTGTACGCGAATGTGCGACGAAGGTGGGCAGAATTTGCGTCCGTGGACCGTGACCGCTCGTACAGCCTCGCTCGTCGGCGAGAAAGCCGAGGACCCGTGTAATGGCTCACGTAGGTGAACCCGTGCACGCGGCTGAAATTTAAACCACCACTACCACCATCACCATCACCAGCACCACCACCACCACCACCACCACCAGCACCACCACCGCCGCCGGCAGCACCACTGACACCAACAACCACCACCACATTAAAGAGTACCCACCGGTACAAGTACCCGCACACTACTGCCGCCACTGCCACCGGCGTATCACCGCCACCCACCCTTTGCTGCTCGTGGTGGTGAGAGCGCAGAGTGCGCGAGCGAGACGCGAATAGAGCGACGGGAACGAGAGGCGGAGTTGAGGGAGGCTAGCAACCCCCAGACCGGCGTCTACGTCGTTTCGTCACGAAATCCACGCAGTGGACCGGCCGCCCCGCGCGCATTCCGATAAAATCCGGCCAGTTCCTCTCACGTTTCCTTCACGAGGCTCGAGGATCGGCGTGGCGTGGAGGACGTGTGTGGCTTTACGGCCGTGCGTGTCGCGTGCTGCGTGTACCAAAATGGTGAAGGTCGGCGCGGCGCTGCCCCGGCTCGTTTTCACTCGCGGCTGCGGCGTGCGGAGAGAGAAAGATAGATAGACAGACACAGATAGATGAGAGGAAGAGAGAGAGAGAGAGAAAGAGAGAGAGAGGGAGGGATGGAGGGGGTGAGCACAGAGCGAGGGAGGGAATCGGTCGTTTTCAGCTCGATCGTGACAAAAAGAGAGACACAGAGCAAGAGAGAAAGAGAGAGAGAGAGAGAGAGAGAGGGCAGGAGAGAACGAGAGGTAGATAAAAAGAGGTATGCGTGCGGAGATGGGAGACGAAGAGAGTGGAGAGAGGACCTCGGCGCTTCGACCGGGCGCTCCTCGGTCCTCCTCTGCCGCACGACGACTGAATCTTCGGGGTGGACTGGGGAGGCTGCGCGCAGGGTCGACCCCGCTCGTTCCTGCACCCCTGGCCTGTCTGCCTGCTTGCTTGCCTGCCTGCCGGCCAGTGGTGGCGGCGACGCGAACTACGGGGCGGACAGAAATGCTGTTTTAGGATTTCTCTTTGCTACGGCGACGCATTTAGCTCTGCTCGATGGGCGAGCGATGATGAAGTTTGATGATAAGGCCGTTATAAATATTAATGGTGGGTGATACGGGCCGCTTAAACGCGAGAGCGTCACAGCGATGCGGCGCACTCACCCCCGCCCGTCGCAATTAATTAGGCGTTTTGTCGCGAGCGACAGGGCTCTTTGGTCGCGAAATAACAAAGCTTGTATTCCTCAGCGTTCCCGCCCTCCCCCCCTCCCCCGACCAGGAAATTAATACGATAAACCCCGATAAACCCCGATTTTTTATGCAGAACTGAATTGGCATGTTTTGGAACGTATAGCGCTGATTATACGCTATTAAATGTTTAAAGTCAGGAAGAGAGAGAGAGAGAGAGAGAGAGAGAGAGAGAGAGCTTTGATTTATTTGATTGAATATAGATAATATTTTCTCGCGGAATCGTGCCGAGACGAACGCGCTAGTTTATCTGACAAAAATCGCACCAGAGCAAAGCGAAAACGGGGCAGATCTGCCGCTAAGAGTTCTCTTTAATCAGAAATATGTCAAGTTGTACTCGTCTGGTAAATTGCACGTTTAATCAAGAAATTGTGTCGCTAACATAAATTTAGTAAAATATTATCCATTTCACCGCATCGACAATCTTCCACTGATACACAACAGCGCGATGAAATTAAAATTCTTCAGACAGAGCCGCGCGAAGAAGCGTGTATGTGCGTGCGGTCGCACGGTTGCGCGTGTGCGCGTCTTTGCGTCCACATGCCGAAACGACAAGGGATGAAAAAATAAAAAAACGGTACATCCCGGATATAAATATCACGGCTTCACTCACACAGCCGACGATCAGCCTTTGCCGTAGCGTCGTGCGACGGCGAAAATGTTAATTTGTCGCGAATATAATTACACGGATCTAATTAATTATACGCGTGCTTTGTGTACGCAACTGGCGTGCTTGTTTAACTGGCTTGTTTAACGGGATAGCAACGGCCGCGGGACAAATTGTACAACGTATGCGTACGCGTGTTCACTTTCGGCATCTCCCTTCGCACGCACGACGCGGCGACATATTCGGCCGGCTCCGATGCGTGCACGCGACAAAGTGCGCGGCGCGACGTCTGGCGCGTGCGAAAGTACTCGCGAGTGTTCGGACGGAAACGTGGCGCTTTCGTCTCGTTTCTTCCCTACGAAATCACACACCGACCGGACGGACGCACGTTTTACGCTCGACGTGTTAACGAAATCGAAGTCGCACGAACGCGTCGCCGGTATATCGGGGCTTCGGCCTGCGCCGTGGAATATTTATTCGTAAATATCACTCGCGCCACGCACACGCACGCAGCCACGTGCCTTCGAATATAACAGCGGCGGATATAATTAGTCCTTCTGCATTTCGCGTAGGCAACCGGTTTGTGTTGTTTGTTCCAGAAGGGAAGAGGGAGGGGGTAATAATAACTGCACAGCCGAGCCGCGCTCGGACCTGCAGACGCGCTACCGTTATCTTTTCGCGCGGCTTATTAATTATTGAATCCGGCGAAGGATAAACACGACGACGCTGAATAAAACGCAACCCTTGCCATTATCGAGCGGTTATCGGACGGCTGTACGAATCGAAGGCGACCAGGGGGTTGCGGCGTGCGAGCGGAGAGAAGGCTCCGCGCGTCGCGCGCGATAAAGATAATGTTACCAGTTTATCTCTCGCGCGAGGCTGACGGAGTTTATTCGCTCGCTCGATCGCTCGTTAGATCCGCATTGTCTTCCGCGGCGTTGAATCGCGAGAGGGCCGCGTAAATCATTTGCTCGGACGTTGTTTTCGATTATCGTTAGCCGTAGCTTGTTCCGACGACGCGATCAAATCACGGCTCCTCTTATTTGCGCGAGTCTCTGGGAGTGATTGCATATTTACGTTCGGAGCTGCTACGACGCTCGAAATGCGAATCCACCTGCCGGGACGCCGAAGAAAAGCGCGGACGGAGACGGATGCACTTGTTAAAAGTTGCTTCCGCTCTTCTCCCGATCTTCTTCCGCATGAAAAACGGCTACGAATGCCGAGGTATAAAGCGGCGCAAAGTATCGGTGTTTAAAGGCTCCCGAGTAAGGGCAACTTAAAAATACAATAGTACGCGTTGCACGGCATCCATGCCCCATCCGGCCGTACAGTTGACGGAATTGCGAAGGGGAGCAGTTCGAATTTGCCGAAACTGCGCGCGCGCGCGCGCGCCTGCAGAGTATTCCTGTACATACAAGGGACTTGGAGCTTGTTGCCGTTGCATGTTACGCGTTTGAAGTTTCCCTCGAAACATAACGGCTCTGGCGAGAGCCGTTTTGCAAATTGTTAGTTAAGCACGGTTGTCTCTATTAGCGGCTCTTATTAATGCACCCGCCGGCGCTCAGGATAGCGACGTTTCGCCCGCTGTCTTCAGTTATGATCGTGATAAGTTTAATGAAGTCTGGTACATTTGCAGTTTAACAGCCGCGCGCGCGGGTTTTTGCACGAGAGCGAGCGGGCGAGCAAGCAAGCAAGCAAGCAAGCGCGCCCTTCCTTCGTGTTTTTACCTACGATAAAGTTTAGTCGCAAAATTTGCCAAAGTCAAGCGACGCACGGTCCCTCGAGCGTTTCGCCAGCGTAATGGCAATTTAAGGATCTCGAGAGTGAGCACGCCGGGAGCACGCTTCATCGGCCGCCTGCATAGTTTTCCCGGAGCGCGCGCCCGTGCTCGCGCCCGTGCTCGCGCCGAGCGACGCCGCGAATTTTTACAAGACGTGAGCCGGGAAGAAGATGACGCTTACCCGCATTCCCGAGAGGGCCATTTCCGCTCTCCCGAGCGGTTATCGCGCACGTACGGCAATTTCAGGCAAATTGTTTGTAGCGGACCTTCCGCGGACTGAAACGGCCGTATTAGTAGCGCCCGCGTGCTACCCCGCCAGCTTGGCGGCGATGGAGGCGGCGGCAGCGGCGACGATGGCGGCGGCGGCGAAGCGATTAGAAATTTAGATTCGCCATCGGCGAATGCGCGAATACAAATGCGCTTCTCGCGCGGCCGGCTCGATCTCCGATAGCCTCTGCTTCGCAGATCTCTCTCCGTCCCTCTTTCCCTTTCTCTCTCTCTCTCTCTCTCTCTCTCTCTCTCTCTCTCTCTCTCTCTCTCTCTCTCTCTCTCTCTCTCGCAAAATATGTCGGGCGGAAAGGGAACCAATTTTGCGTCTTCTTCCGCTGCACGAGCAGCTGCTCTCAACGCGTTGCATTCGCGCAAATGGAACGCTAGGCTTTTCGGCAGATTAATGGCGCTCATTAAGCGCACCGACGGCATTTGTCAGCCTGCGCGATTAGCATGTCGCTCGCAGGACAAAGTTATCGGCAAATATTTGGCAGTTTTCGACTCGTCGCGGGACTTTGTTAAATTTGTGAGACGTGCGCGCGAAATTAATCATTCGTCGTTGCATCGTTCGGCGGGAAGGGACCGGGGCGGGGCGGGATGGACTGGAGGGAGTAAATTTACGCGATAATAATAGAGCATTAGCGTTAATTTGCGCGTTTCCATCGGAATTACACGACATGGGTTTTAAAGCGGGCGGCCCGCGGTGACCCCCGTCGTAGGTATGTGGGATGATTTTGTGAACCTTTTGCGAGCGTCCGAAACTACTTCGCTGCCTCGCCGACGGAGTGCGAACAATATTTTCTTTCTCTTCTTCTTCGTCTCAAATTTACTCCGCCCCGGGGAAATGTTGCAGAAACATAACCAGAGCGAAGTAACGCGATGTGTCCGCGAAAAGAATGTATATGCCGGGGAAATTACGAGGAAACGGCGCGCGATCTCGTCTTTGCCGCTCAGATTCACCGGCTCGCAGGACAGCCGCGAGGCTGTCGCCTTGCGATAAACTGGCGCACACCTGTCTCCCTCCCGGCCCCCCTCATCTGCGACGGTCGTACGGAATTCCCGATTTCGTCCTAAGTACGCGCCAATTATAACGTCAGTGCGGCGTTATTGGCGCGACGTGACCCCGGTCTCCTTTTTACACGAATACGAATTTACATGTCCTCGGGGAAATGTCGAAGGACTGCCGGCGAGCGGGGCGAGATAAAATGGTACACCGGTAGAAGCAGAATTGCGCAAGAGAAACGGAAAGAAAGAGAAGGAGAAAAGTCGAAGTCACATAAAAATTATTTATACGACTTTCGCGGCGTTCTCGCCGTGCGCGCCCTCGCGCGGCCGTGCACGCGCGCGCCGCACGACTCAATTTTCCGTGCAATTTCTTGCGAATAGCCGACAGCCGCGCTCTCTCGCCCTCGCTCTCATTCTCGCACAGGGCCGCTTGCACATCGACTAATCGACTATTCCATGCAAGAATTAATAAGACCCGAGTTCTCCCGGGGAAAACGGAAAGTGAATCTCACGGAAAGGCGCCACTTCCACGGAGATACGTAACGGTCTGTTTTAGCGGCCGGTCCTTCCAGCGATTTCATGCCGAAGGCGAGAGAGAGAGAGAGAGAGAGAGAGAGAGAGAGAGAGAGAGAGAGAGAGAGAGAGCTTTCGCCCTTCGTCCTCTCTTTCCCTTACTCCCGACCTCGCCGCGCCGCCGCCCTCCTCCGCCTTCTGCCAGGATTCGTACAAAATTTACTTCACCTCGGGGAAACGTTGGCGGGATATGAGCACGGCGATATAAAACGTTATGCTGAGGGGATACGTTCGTTACGTCGGAAAATTACCAGCCGCCGCTCTCGGGCTCGATCCTTAACTCTCGGCGCTGCTGAAGTGCTTTAAAGTGCCTTTCGCCGGCTTGAATCTATCGAATCCGCGGACAATATTTCCTTCCTCGACGAATATTCACTTCGCCTCCGGGGATACGTCGCGGCCGCATAAATCGGCTCGTAACAACGCGCGCGCGCGCTCGCGATCAAGTCAGACCGCGAATTGATGCGCCGCCATGTACGAGCGTAACGTTTGTCGTTCTTCTCGACCGGTTACGTCGATACTCTCGGAGACGCATGTGGCATTCTCCCCACTTGTCTTTCTCTTTCTCTCTTTATGTCGCGAAGGGTATAATGAAGGCACGAATTGGAATATTTTCTGAAAACGACTACAACACACTTTTACGCTGCGACCAGCGGACGATTGTATGTTCTTTGTGGTGCGTTTCGTTCCACTTCGAATCAAAATCGGTCATGAATGTATCTCCACACGAAGGAGAAGTCGTCCTGTTTTCTAATGCAAAAGTTAATCGCTCAAACAGTGCTCGGCGAGTGTCCTCTCGTCGGAAGCGGAACAGTCCCAGCTTCCAACCGCATTTTGTCTCACGTCGCTACGACTTTTCTGCGCGAAGATAGCGGCGAGCGGCGAGTCGTTTGGGACAGGACCGGGGCCCGCCGACAATGTTGCACCCCGCTCGGCGGCGGGTCAGGTGGCGCGGCGCGGCGCGACTCACTACAATATATACTACGCGCGTGCCGTCGCACGGCGGTAAAGGGCCGCGCGCCGCTTTGGAAACTTGACGCGCTTCGGACGGCTGTACTTTAGGCGGCAAATTGATGTAAAAATGTGAAACAAACGCCGTTCTCCTCGGAATTTCGCGCTGCATTTCGCGCCCATGCTGGTCGCGTATATTTTCGCGTATAACGTGCGTTATACCGTCACAAGGCCGTCTCACAAGGCAGCGTGATACTTAGACACAGAAAAGAGAATGTTGGAGATTCTTGTCACACAAAATACAAAAGTCCAAAGTGTATTTCTGTTCGAAACATGTTCGCGCAGAGATATCTGTGCAGCCCGTGATTTTGACGTTCGAGTCGTCGTCACACAGCCATCGATGAGCGCTGCACAATGAAGTCACTGTTGATTGATGTATGCTCGCGAGTACTCGAAAAATTGACTGCTAGTGTTGGACCCGAGCGATCATCCGGCTGTAATCCAATACCAAACCGGCACCGGCTTCCGATATCGAGTCGGTATTGAAAATCCGGCGCTTAGTAATCCGATCGTAAAACTTGTATGCGCGGATTATATATTCGCTGATTATCATAAAATATACGTTCAATCAAGGGAGTGTAAGGTTTGCGAAGCTTCTCGCGAGCGAGAGCTGCTGATTCTTTCATCGGCGAATTATTTCCACGTAGTCAAGAGGAATTCGCTCGTCGCAAAAACCTTCACGTCGTCGAGCTGACTTTTTCCGAGTACTCTCGATAGCAAGGCGCGCGCGCGTGGCTGCGTTAGAAAGGAAAAGATTGGCGCGAGCGCGTAGGAGGAGGAGGGTCTCGTCGGACGCTCTTGTTGCCGTCGCAAACGTTCCCCGCTACGCCCGCTGCAGACGCCCTCGTGTCGACGCCGACCTTTCAACGAAAGAAAGACGAAGGTTATAAATATTTCGCGGTTTCGCCGCGCTCGGCCCTCGCGCGCGATAGCCGAGGTGGGCGCGCTGGAAAGTGATGTTTGTGAAGCCCGACTTCGCCCGACCGGGCCGGTCCAACGGCAGCTACATACTGAAATACATTAGAGGGTTCTTCCCGTGCGCGAGGGGTCGATAGGGAGAATTTTCGACCGAAAGGACGTCGGGCGCGCGCGGCAACGACGAGGCGCGACGGCTTCTTTTTTTTCTTTTCACACGGCGCGCCGAACGATGAAATCGCTCTCGGGCGCGATGTAGCCAGCGCAGAATTGGAACGGAAAGTTTTTATACGGCGAAATCTAGCTGAAAAATTTCCGCGGCGGCCTTCGACTGCCGTTTAACTACGCGATATTGCATGCCTCTCTGTGTGTCGCGCAGGGCGCGCAGGCTGCCGCTCTTTGTGTCGACGTGCCGTGTAAATACACGGTCTTTCGCGACACGTGGCGGACGATCCTTTGTCGCCGCTTCTCGCCGCCATCCGATTCCAAACAGTTCATCCGATCTCGTTTTAGGACGACAAACGTGCGGGCGCGCGCGCCAGCGCACGGCGCATAATTACTTTTTACGAGTGCACGCTACATTCGATCGACCGGGGATACGGCTCGCCGTGCTGTGCTCTTTTGAATGAGAAGCAGCTCGGGGCGAGAGGGAGAGGGCGGGGGGGAAAGAATGAGAAAGAGAGCGACGAGTATTTTTCTAGCAGCGAGACGACACGGTTCGTCCTTCCGCTCGGCGCACTTCTCCGATAACTCCGTCGCGTTAAAAGATGCAGCTGCATCTCGTATCGCCATGTCGACGATTTCCGAACGAATCGCTAGCTTCATTGTTATGCATTTTGATTCAAGATTAAGGAGTCGTAAGGGACGTGCACGTTCCCATTTCGTAATCCCTATCTCCGGTTGGTACACGCGGCGGCGGCGGCAGCGGCAGCGGCAGCGGCGGCAGCGCGCTTGCACGTCCGTCGAAAAATGCAAGGAAAAACGACGACGAGCGCGCGTGCGGGGGCGGAGGGAAAATAAAAGATGCGCCGGGCGAGATATTACGCGAATCTCACTCGATACACAATTCCGCTCGACATCGATGTTGTAACGCGCCGTTATACAAGCACCGATATCAGCGCGCGCAGTCGGGCGAACTTGAAAAATATATCCGTCCCCTCGCCGTGGGATAAATCAACATCGCATAATTTCCGTCGTTAACATGCCGCGCCGGTAATTCACGAGGGCGCTCTTAATAGCGCCTAATATTCTTAAGAATATTACCGTGGCAGCGCGTAAAATTTAAGCGCGCCTTTTATCCCCGTATAAATCAGGGACGCATAATTTCGGCCGTTAATATGCCATTTTAATAATTTCACCTGCGAGCTCGCGCGAGGAAACGATCCCTCTCCGAAAGCTTCGAATATTCGCCCTGCGAATATAATCGACTTA